AAAGATGGAAAAAAGTAGTAATTTTTACACTCTGCTCCATGCAGATTAGGCCTCAACTGGAGTGTTGTGTCTAATTCTGGGCACCACATTTCTGGAAAGATGTGGAGAAATTGGAGAGGGTCCAGAGAAGAGCAACACAAATTATTAAAGGTCTAGAAAACATGAGCTATGAGGGAAGACAGAAAGAATTGGGCTTCTTTAGTGTGGAAAAAAAGAAGACAGAGGGGACATAACAGCTTTCAAGTTTCTAAAAGACTGCTACAAGGAGGAGGAAAAAAAATTATTCTCTTTAAATTCCTCCTGATAGGACAAGCAGCAATGGGCTTAACTTGCAGCAAGGGAGGTTTAGGTTGGACATTAGGAAAATCTTTCCAGCTGTCAGGGTGGTTAAACACTGGAATAAATTGCCTAGGGAGGTTGTGGAATCGCCATCTTTGGAGATTTTTAAGAGCGGGTTAGCCAAACACCTGCCAGGGATGGTCTAGAGATGTTGCTTGTCTCTCCCATGAGTCCAGGGGACTGGATCTGAAGACTTCTTGAGGTTCCTTCCAGTTCTATGCTATTACCCTCCCTACCTTGTCTCTCTGACAGAGTCCTGACATTCTTTTATATTTTAAGAGGAAGTAAATATTTCATCTTAATTGCTTTTTCTATCAAGTTGTCTTAATTGGTGTTGCCCCTTGTTGCTAGTATACTAGATTTCAATTTTCCTTCACAGCAGGTCTTCCCCAGCAAAAGCACTTTCACTAGGAAATGTGGGGCCAAAGAATACATAGCCACTCAATTTCTTCCCAAAAGAAGCAACTAGACCCGTTTATTAAGGCTTGAAATGAGTGCAGCCAGAAAGGAGAATCCACATGCTCATTTCCCACTCAAAATCTTGTGACTCCTTTCATGCACATTTAGTGCTTTTGTTAGACCCCGTTCTGGGTACAGCTACGCTTGCTGCTAGATTCGACACGCACTGCGGCTGTGCCATTTACCACAGTGGTCTTTTATGCCCAAGATCACTTTCTGAACTTAAGGGCAACCCAAGATCTACTCTGTCCCTTCCCCAAGACCCTGCTCCACTCACTCCATCCCCCCTTTTTCCTTCGCTTGCTTTCCCCCCCATCCTCATTCACTTTTACTGGGCTAGAGTAGGGGGTTGGGGCTCAGAGGGGGTGCGGGATGCAGGACGGAGTATGGGTGCTGGCTCAGAGGGGCAGGAGGCTGAGGTGCAGGAGGGGATATGAGAGCTGGCTCTAGGAGGAGTCTTAGGGTTGAGGGAAGGGGTTGAATTGCAAGAGGGGGCATGAGGTTCTGGCTCAGAGTCAGGGTCTTTGGGCTCAGGAGAGGACATGGGGTACTGGCCCTGGGAGGGGATTAGGGCTGGGGCAGGGGTGCTGGGTGCAGGGGTATGAGGAACTGGCTATGGGAACGCTCTGGGAGTTGCTCTGTGGCCTCCAACTGGCCCACACTTACCACCTGAGGCTCCCAGCTGGCAGCACAGCACAGCTGAGGCAGGCTACCTGGCCTGCCCCCAGCCCCATAGCACTCCCAGAAGGGGACAAGGCACAATGGGAGCTGTGGTGGGCGGTGCTTCCAAACAGCAGTGCCTCAAGACTCCGAATCCATGTACCCCCGTCCACATAGGCAGGGCCATGCTGGTCGCTTTTGGGAACAGGCTGGAGTTGTGGGGCCAGGGCGGGCAGGGAGCCTGCCGACCACGATCAACTGGGAGATTCCCCAGGAACCACTAGTCAATCGCAATCGACCCTTTGGTGACTCATTTATCAAGCCTAGTGAAGACACACTAAACTGCTGGGAAAACACTCTTCCATCAATCTGCGTACTCCACCTACCTGAGAAGCAGAAGGGAAGCCGACGGAAAACTCTCCCATCAACACAGCACAGTAAAGACACCATGGTAAGTGGACCGAAACATGTTGACTTCAACTATGCTATACAAGTAGCTGTAAGTGCATAATTTAGATCCATCTCCCCCTGGAGTGTAGAACCTTAGATATAGCCTTAGATTTGGAAGAGGTTACATTCAATAAAGCATGTAACTGGGGATGTAAAATCCCGAGTAATCAGTTAACTGGTTACATGTTATGTTTAATCGGGTAACCGCTTAAACAGGGATGGGGGGGAGGGGCTGTTCCAGCCTAGCTGGGTTGCTGGTTAACTAACTGGTAAGCATCGGTTGGCTTGCCGGTTAACTGGTTAACTATTCACATCCCTGCATGTAATGGATTCAAAACAATGGAGCAGAACTTGATGTTTTTGCGCAGATCAAAATGTTTTTAAGAATCAGAGGCTGAGGAATTATACATGCCTTTTAAAGGGCACGATCAAATGATTTGCAGAGATCTATGACCCTGATATTCAAGTGAACATTTACATGAGGCTCTCAAATAAATCTGGAGCCTCCTACCTTTGTACATTAAGTTTAAAGGAGTGAGCTGAAATAGGATCCTCTTATAAATCATCCTTTTTAATTGGGAATTTCAAACGTGAAATTTGAACCTTCTTTAACCACACAGATCAAGGCTGTCACTCACCAACAGTTGAAAATTCATCGAGGCACAAAGGATCAGTGGATAAAGGGATTGCCCCACTGGATTTTTCTAATTTGTAGAGAGCTTTGAATCAGAGCAACACAAACGTCTTTTCTGGGTGTTTTACACTATGTGGCCGTGTTTTCTGTCAAATGTCCAGCAGTGATACAAGTGCACCATTATACGTACACAGAGCCACCCCTTGGGTACTGCAAAATGAGCCTCCTGCCCTGTTCTTTGAGAAGGTGGCACGTGGGACTTGAGCTCAGTTTCTGGCAGCAGCAGCCATAGGCTCCCGGGCTGGAGCATACACAGGCAAAAATAGTGGCTGTTCAGCCCCTACAGGCAGCGCCTCCCTCCCCAGAGTGACTCCTGCCCACTGCAGGTCAGCACCTCCCCTTCCCTCCCAGCACCTCTCACGGATCAGCTGTGAGTTTCATAGCGTCAGGAGGTGCTGAGGGGAAGGTACAGGAAGAGGCGGGGTGTTGGGGAGAAGATGTGGAATGGGGGCAGGGTCTAGATGGGGAACACCCCGTCCCCAGGCAGATTAGAAATACAGTCCTGTGCCCTGCACCTTCCTAGGGACGGTCCTGCTCACACCAGCGCTTGCTGACTAGGATCTGGAATTTGCAGCCCTGTATCACGAAAAGCATGTCTACGCTATGCTTTTACACTGCAGCCAGGCCCAGCTGAGCACAATGTTGCTGGAAAGCAGATACACAGAGTTTTCCAGTGGAAACAAGGCCTTGGGAATTATTAAGGTGCCCTGCTAGCCCCCAACACTAAGGAAGTTCTGACCCTTTCAAAAAATAAACTTAATTGAGCCCTGCTATGTTACGCAGCAGTGCAGAACACCACCCTTCGGCCAGTAAGGAGCACAAGTGCTTGAGAAGACTGTAGCTGACTTAACCTTAACTTAACACACTTCAATTTTTCTTCACTACAATAAATACGTCAAAGTAGAAAAAAAATGTGAAAACCCAAAACCTTTTTTGGAAGAACAATAATGAAAGTCTGGATTTAAATTTCTACACAGCAATGAGAAGACAATGATATTTTCCAAGAGCAGTCTCATATGGACTAGATAAAGTGCAAAGAGCTGCAAGATTTGACAGCTCAGACAGAAAATCTTACACCACCTTCTTTACATTGAGATTTTTGATAATGAAAACCTGACATTTTACTTGCTTATCAAAAAAATCTTGCCCAGTTCTGGAAAGGCCTTTGCGAGGGTGGTGGTCAGGGGGATCTTCAATTCCAGACTGGACTCAAAATTTAAACATTTTCACTGCTGTTAATTATTGGTTACTCAAAACTAAGATGCTTCGTCTCTTCAAACCTGATGCAAAGCCCGCTGATGTCAATGGAACGATTCCCACGACTCAGACACAGCCCTACTTGAGTCCCAGGAATGAAGAGAATGAGAACAAGGCCAAGACACTACAACAGCAAATTCTATCAGCAAGCAGCCCTCATAAGCCTCAAGCACAGATAAGCAGAGGACTAAACAAAAATCTGGATACTTCCGTACTAATCACTCAGAACACCACGCTGTTGAATTTTCATGGATTAGAGGCTTCTAGCAGACATTTCACATTTGCTAGTTACAGGACTTAACACTTAAAGGGTGTGTGTACACAGCAATTCCATTATTTCAAAATAATTTCGAAATAACGGACGGCTTATTCCGACTTCTGTAAACCTCATTCTATGAAGAATAATGCCTCTTCTGAAATAGCTATTTCAAAATAAGGCGTGTGTAGATGCTCCACTTCTGCTATTTCGAAATAGCCCCTCACCAGGGCCATTCTAAGTTATTCGTCCCCAGTGCCTCCTGCTGCTCTAAATGGAGATAGCACGTCTACATTAGAGAAACCTGCCTCGGACTCATTTTGAGGCTTCCCTGCAGTATAGACGTGCTATTTCAAAATAAGCTATTTTGGAATAACTATTCCAGAATAGCTTATTCGGAAATAACTGTGCAGTGTAGATGTAGCCAAAGTGACCTAGCAAAGGTGGTCCGGGCTTTGATCTTAACAAGTTGAATTACGCAAATGGCACTTTACATTTTATTGTTCGCATTATGCAGCCAACGTGCTGTGATGTCCTTAAGGCACAAGCTTAGTGGATTCAGACCAATAGCGAATCAAACTCGGATCAGGTGTCAAGGCAATGTAAAATCTGTGAGAGGAGGGGCCCTCTCTTTGCTAACAAGGGTCTGTAACTGCCTGTGGCCATTTTGATCTCCATAGCAACTGTAAGTGTCCAGGCCAGAGGCCTTCTGGGGTACTTGTAATTACTTCCCTCTACAGTTTGATATCCATCTCATTTTTCACTTTGTTTCCCAGCAATTGTCCTGTAGTGCCCATCATGGCCAGGAAAATAGTTGCTCAATTTCATAGCACAGACAATTCCACGTCAGTGGTGTGTGAAGTGATTCCTGCACATTGTTTATATACAGGAAGTTCATCCAAAGCATTTGATTGTCACCTAGAAATGCACAGAACTCCAGTCAATATTTTCCCTACTCATTTTTTCATTTCGTATTTCCCCAACACTGTTTTTATTCACACATGAAGGACAATCAAAATATGTAGAAAACTGTTCGAGACACCACCAGCTGTTTCCACTTCCCTTTTATGAATTTTAAAAAAGTCTCAGAGGGGTAGCCGTGTTAGTTGGTAACTTTAAAAACAACTCTCGTTGCTTTTGTGTATTATTGTCGCGGGGGTGGTGTGGTGTGTCTTTTAATGCATACTGTAAGCGGAACAAAGACAGACAAGCAGTCTGATCTCAGACATTAAAGTGTCCCATGTTGAGCTAGACAGATCTCCTAAACTTTGGTTCTGCATGCTACTGGGCTACCATGCAAAAGTCTCCCCCAATTTTTTGGGGGGAGGGGAAGAATTCGCTTCATAGATTTAGAAAAATAATCTTAAAAGTAAGACACAACAGCTAATGCTGACCCCACTTAAAAAGCTGAACTGGTATTGCAAAATTTTATTGGAAGAATTACTTTAAATCCTTAGAATGATCGTTTCAAAGGCTGAGCAGTGAGTCCACATCTACTGCCCATAAAACTTTGAACCACAAAGTGCTTTCCTTCCACAAAGCTGTGTCAGCCTCATACTCCCTCTTCAAGTCCTGTTTTCAAGCTGATTCTATCTGGATCTGATGGGCTCACAAATGAACCATTATTGTTCAACTGCAAAAAGTCAATGAGTTAGACGCAGATTCTTATGTAAAACTGCTTTGGAATCAGTGAAACAACAATGAAAAAGCCCTCACTTTGGAGAAAAATACACTGGTAACCGATAAGCGAAGTGACAGGACGGAGGCAACAATTTGCTAAAAGTTACATTCTGCTGTAGTTTTAAGCACAGGATTGAACCTAGTTTAAAATGCCTCACATTCATCTGGTATTTTAATATTAACAGCTATAAGAGCCCCCTGTAGCTATTTCTTAGTACATTACAGACATCAGAAATGTTGAAGACAGTTTACAAATAGTTTCTATAAGGATATGCCTCCTTATAAACAAAGTTCTGAACGCTCAGAAGCTTAAGAACAAACAGTTGGCAATGTGTTCCAGCCAGGGAGCAGCCGATCAGTTGCTACTGTTTCTCATTCCTTGCAACCTTACTGAATATAAGTTGACCATTTCTTGTTAAATGGCCAACTTTCAAAGGCTATTTAATAATCCACCCAAAGCAGAATCAGTGCCTTGCTAAAACGGGCATCATACACCTTAACACCTTGTTGTTTTCTGTTCTGTCTTTTTGGCAAGTCACTTGACTAAAAGGCATGACTTCGGAGAATACATATTTCACATTGATTAAAAACTCTTCACAAGCTGACAAGTTTTAAAGCAGTGTAAACATGTTTCTGTATTAGGTCCTGTGGAAAGTAGCTTTAAAAAAATAAGCAGGTGGGGGAAGAGCAGTTGGAATCCCTCTTTGTTATGAATCTTGCAACCACAAAAAGGGTGTTCTCCCGGATTGTTGTTTTGTTCATCTCTGCTAATCAAAAGAAAAGTTCTTAACAACAGCACCCCCAACACACACACACGCTTACTTCTCGGGAAGTTAGGAAACATTTTCTTAAAAACTACATTCTCTACCGGAACCGGCAGTAACCAAACCAACCAAAACAAGTTACCTGTCTCAGACCCAAGAGGAAAGGCATCCTGCATTCTCATCATCCACACTAACGCTTGGGAACAAAAGAGTGTTAAAGTACCACCACAGCCATTTCCTCATCTGATGTGCACAGGGTGCGTCTCCAATCCGATTTCAGCCAGGGCTTCCTCAGCTGGGAATGTTGAGTAAACAGGGTCCCCCCGGACGCAGCATGCA